GAGGGGAGGGGAAGGGAGGGGAAGGGAGAGGAGGGGAGGGGAGGGGAGGGGAGGGGAGGAGAGGAGGAGAGGGAGAAAGGAGAGGAGGGGAAGGTTATTATATGAAACGGAACCACAGAATGAGTTTGGAGATTTCAGCTTACAAGCAGCAGGGTAGGATGAATCCTTAATCTTTCAAACTAAGGTTTTTTCATTTATGAATCCCTCCTGGGAGCAGCCCTGAGACGGCTGCTGCAGAATAGATTTAGCTCATGAATCATTCCCATTGAAGAGGAGATTTCAAAGGCGCAGGCTAAACTCTTCGGTGCTACGATTCTCTGAGCGTTGATTGGAGTGTGAGTGGGATGCTGGCGATCTCAGTTCTGTTGTGCTGACTTTCTTTTGACCATTTCGCAGAAGACAAAATGGTTTGGAAACCGTGCAAATGAAAGAAACACGAGGCTCATTTGCCTCCTCTTCTCCATCAGGACTATTGCCCAACACACGGGTTACATTAGCTAGTTGTCTGCACACCTCAGTCCCCAAAGCAGTACATTTCAGAAGACCTGGCCTTGGTGTTGCCATGCCTTACTTTGGCCGCCCATCTTTCTCTCTCTCAAGGGCAACCAGGCTCTGATCTTGTGAGAACTAGTGAAGTCCGAGTTGGATACTTAGCCAGCCCCACTTCTGCTGAAGATGGAGGATGGGGGGACTGCCAGAGAGGAAAGAGAAAGAGAGGGAGAGAGTGTTCCTTTGGGATCTGAAGAGGGAGCCCATCAATTTTTAGGTTTTGGAAAATTAGTAAGGTGTTATGTAACACAAAAGAAGAACCCTTTACTATTTTAAATCGCCAGACTGTTAGAGAATGCTTACAAGAGTGAATTCTAAGCTTTGGGGATTAATTTATCATTGACAAATGTAAAGTATTTTGCTAAACGTCATAAACTTAGAGACTGTAGACATTGAGAAAGACTGTCCACAGAGGAAGACGTCTGAGGACTGGGTGGGTATAGCTGATGGGGAAGACTGTGGCGGTCCTGTGCTGCTGTGGGGACATTTGAGCCTTTGGTGCCTTGAGCACACTCCTGAGGGATCTCAGAGGAGCTGGCTTCCATACTGCTCTCATCTGAGTTCTCCAGATTCTGTCACCTATGCGTGTTTGTCAGTCCTCAGGAGTTACTTCTCTTTGCTGTGACCTCTGCCTGCAGCTGGAAGGAGTTGGCTGAACCTCTTCCATGTCACCCAGCCTCCGTGCTGGATCCTATTGCTCTGTGGGTGCTGAGAGGCTGGAGGAGGGTAGGGGTCAGTTAAGCGGAAGCCAGGGGAAAGGAATTGCTACAAGCTAAAGTCATAGACTGTTGGAAACAGCAGCTCAGGACCCTGGAACGCAATTAAGTAAGAAATGCTCTGCAGGCGTTGTGTCTTCTAAAAGGAGGATTTTGTATATTCAGCATTACACACAGAGACCTTTCAAAAGCATTCAGAAGGGGTGTTAGCTCCTGAGTAGAGCAGACTGTCACATTTTAAAGAGTTTTTTTTTTAATTCCCCAATTTTGGGTCTGATATCCAGTGGTGTTGTCCTTATCTTCTTTAAAAACAACAACAACAACAACAACACAGAATCCTCCATAAAACTGGAAAGATTAGCTTCTCATGATACTGCATTTAAGGGGGATTTTCAAGTAAAATAGGACTCACTGGGCAGTATTGGTTCTGAGGATGGTAGACCTTTATGCAAGGTGGACTTTTCAGGAGACTATGCAGGTCGGTGGAGAGGATGCTGGGCTGCTGGCTGCAGACAGGCTGAGGGTGGGACTTGTCTCACCACTTGGTCTCTTGCTTGGAAGGGAGGATGCTTGGTCCCTGCACTCAGTGGTCCACTGCAGCATGCTGAGAGAAATGGCTGGAGACACCTTGTGGTTTTCTTTCTGTTTAAAGGAACATCTGAAGGCCATAAGAATCCTGTAGTCTCACAAGCCACCTTGCAAACCTGCCTAATGGATCTGAACAAAATGAAAAGTGCATGGTGCTCAAATGCTGCTGGCTTCTTGCTTTCCCATCTACAGTGTTGAGGAAACTGTGAACATCAAGGAGGCCACTGGCAGAGAACACAGAGAGTCTTGTTGAGTGGCCACCGGACCATGTCCTGGTTCTCCCTCTGTACTTGCTCCTGGAAGGCTGTATTCAGTTGGAGAAGTTTCTGGAGAGAGTCGTACAGAGCACAGTGTTTGTCCTATTTACTCCCTCAGAGGAGTGGTAGACAGCAGCCCACCTCTCTCTACTGTGCCTCTCTTTTCACCGAGCCATGCTACACTTTGGCTGCCTCTGATTGGGCTCACTTGCTCTCAGTTCCTGTTCTTGCTTCTGCCAGCTCACCGCTGCTGCCCACAGCCTCTGCCCAGCCTAGACCTCAATCATTCGCACACTCTGGAGACTCCCAAAGAATCCATCTCTACTGCCTCAGCTGGAAGGGCCTTCATGGTCACTGAATTCACCATTTTTCATAGCTTGTGACCACATTGTATCTGTGCATGTATGTTTCATCTGGAAGCAGTATGATCTTTACACACACACACACACAGAGACACACACATACGCATGCACACACTCACACAGACAGGCATTCATATATATTATACACACACTTTCCATATATGTCACACACAGGCATTCTCCATATATCACACATATCTCCCACATATATCATATAGACACAGACACACACTACTTATACAGGAATATTCCACATGTTTAAATATATGCCACACACATTCCATATGTATCACACAGAGCATATGCTATTCAGACATCCTCTACATACACACATCACACACAAACACATTATACGCACACACACACACACACACACACACACACACACAACTCTTTTCACACTGCCACACAACAGACATACATCACACCCTCCCATATACCACACATATGTTCCACCTGTGCATATACATTTGCCATAGCAGATGCATATACTATTTAGTAACACACACATACTCCCTGCCCCGGGTTATTTTGGCAGGCTAATTTTAAGTCAGGAATCAATAAAAGATGATCTATTGGAAGAGAGCCATCTAGGGAAACAAATCTGAGTAAAGTAGAAATGACCTTTAGATTACCCCTTATTCTCTAGTTATGGACCACGGAGAAGAAGCTGCCATGGACTATCATGGATTATTCAAGAGCACTAGAGGGTTTGTTGAAAAGACTTGATTGGCTGAGATGGGCAGTACAATTTAACTAGAAGAGAGGATCTGTCTTTTAATCCTAGAGATTCTTTTGCCAATAGTCTCTGCAGTGTAGAGCTTGTGGCTGTGGTCTTGTGTTTATGGTGACCTGTGTGATTTAAGTGTGATCAGGATTTGAAACCCTGAGGCTCAGTTATTTGGTGCTGTTTTTCTAAGATAACATAAGGTAGCAGCCTGGAGTAGGATGTTGTCTTATAACTTCTTAGGTCAAGTCAGCTCCATCCCAACACAGTGAGGACCTGTGAGGAGCTAAATGTTCTACAGTAACATGTGTCGAGTCCTCCCTGTGGCAGGAAAAACTTCATGAATCCTATAGAACTCGAACTCTGCACTAATTTTATGCAGTAACCCTTGAGCGTTACTCTATTTTTAGTGTGTCTAGAACCAAAGTAAAACACAATGTAAATACATCATTTGATTTATCGTTCTTGATAGATGAGGGCAGCATGCCAGAAGAGCCAGATGAGAGAGTAGCCAGGCATATCTGAATTCTGTGTTCCTATTGCTTATAATAGAGTAGGGAGGCAGGAGGCAGACGAGCTGGGAAACTGGGATACCGAGTGCTTGGTGACGCGTCTTTAATGCTTCAGTCCATGTGAGGTTTTGCTCTTGCAAGCTCAAATGTTCACTTGGAAGTTCCTTTCAGGAAAGCACTGTGTGACGGAGACCTGGAGGAAAAAGAGGACTAATCGAGGAAAGCAAAGTTGGCTTTCAGGGCAGATGTGCACCAGGTGTCTGTGGGAATCTGTAAAGGTTGCTGACTGGGCAGATGTGGACCAGGTGTCTGTGGGAATCTGTAAAGGTTGCTGACTGGGCAGATGTGGACCAGGTGTCTGTGGGAATCTGTAAAGGTTGCTGACTGGGCAGATGTGGACAAGGTGTCTTTGTGAATCTCTAAAGGTTGCTGATTGGGCAGATGTGGACCAGGTATCTGCAAGAATCTGTAAAGGTTGCTGGGCATCCCAAAGGACTGAGGAGAAAATTGGTCTTTGTGTTATTGTTTCTAGAATTTTATAACTTCCTGAAAGTCTAAAATCTTCTTCAGGTACACCATCATTGTAGATCTACAGGTTATGTCCATGGCAAATAGGTTGTTTAACACTTGGGAGAGGGCTTGAATAGTCATTTTACTGTGAGATTTAGAGAAGAGTCTGTGGAGTTGTGTACCTTAAGGCCACGCCAAGGCCATGGCTTTAAGTACTTCCGGAGTCCTTTAGTGAGAATTGTCAGCTATTGTCTCTCCCATCCCCTCCACAAGGCCTTTACATCCCGATCCTCATGAAATCTCGAGAGCCCTCATAGGTGGAAAAAGAAGTTCTGGGCATAAACGTATATTTAGTAATGCTTTAAAAGAGTATTTATCCCTCCAACCTGGTGGGTAAAATGAATAAAACTGGGAAAAAGGAATATAAGAATAGCCTTCAAGTTAATTTAAGTATTAAAAGGAATAAAAACACATATTTAGAACAATTCAGTCAGAGAATTATAGATTTCACAAAGAGATTAATGGAATGGATTTTCTTGGCTGGTCTGTAGAATGATCCCGAAGAGGGTAGTTTTGAGAGTAAGGATTTTAGAAAATCTTGAACAGTGGTTGAATCTATCCATTTTCAAGCAGATTTTATGTGGGATTAGCTTATCTTGATTTGTTTTCTGGCCAACCTCTATTACAAGTTAAACTAAAGCTTATTCATTTGTCTCCCGCCCTCTTCCTTCCCAGGGTTTCACTGCTTCTATGTGTGTGGAAGATGGAGGGGAGATGGTGCCCCTCCCCCACACATACATACATGCATACATACATACATACATACATACATACATACAGCCAGGACAGCCCTCTGCTGGAAACAGAGGGGAGCTCTCCCCAGGGAGCCAAAAGCCTGTGTGTGTGTGGGGGGGTGTATACACAGACGCACACACGTGCGTGGATGTGTTTGCTTCCTGTTTTGTAGGTTCTGCTTAAGAAGCTCTGGGTTGAGTCAGGACTTATGCCTATTTCTTGCCTTCCCTATCTCTCATTCTAAAAAACTTCTGTTTGTTGTACAGGAACAAGCAAATTGTGACTCACACAGTTAACTTGGATTTTACAGATTAAACAACGTTATCTGAAAGAGGCAGGCCCCCGTTTTTCTGCTGTATTTCACAGCGCTCCTTTGACTGTTTTGCATCTTTTGCTCCCAGGGGAAGTTACACGACCCTCAGCTCATGGGCATCATACCGAGGATTGCACATGATATTTTTGATCACATCTATTCCATGGACGAGAACCTGGAGTTTCATATCAAGGTAAGTGGTTTTTGCTAAGAACAAGAAAGATCACGAGGCCCCAAGTCATATTACTCAGTCTTTGTTTCTCTCCTTTTATATAGATGTACAAGATGGTTTCTTTTAACTCAAGTATCATTCCGTAGGAAGCAGACCCTACGGTTAATAATTTCAGTCAATACCAAGCATTTGGATTGGTTTGCTTGAAATAGGAACATAAAGACAAACAAGCCTCCTCTAGGATGGACTCTTCATACCTGTTGCCTGGATTCTCCCCTTTTCCCTGTGCGTTTCTGAGAATAGTCCAGGAGTATGTCTGTGTGTGGGTTAGGACACCATTCCCCAGTGAGTTCCTTGGAACACAGTCCCTTGTGTTACCAGTAGAGAAGCTGCCAGAGAAAAGCATTATATGGCCAGATAAACTTGGAAGATACTTTTTTGACCAGGGCTAAACGTATCACAAGTTCAAATGCTGTTGTGAATAGTATGACTCTCAAAAGGAATGCATACTCCCAGCCCCTGTGTAATGACACCTCCATCCTGCTTTGGGAAGTGTTGGCCAGAATTCACCTGCCTTTTTTTCCCTCTTCCTCTTTGTTATTATTTTATTTTAACCCAGAAACGCTAATCTTGCTTAAATTTGAAAGTCAGCCCTCTGCTCTATTATTATTTCTGTTGAGTTATAAAATTTGAACTTCTTTGTAAATTCCAGGCTACTTGCTTAAACACAGAGAGACATGTCATAAGGTGGCGACTGTGTAGCCAGGGTAGATAAGGCTGTGGAGATCAGGAAATTCCAGCCCTGGGTTTCCCTGAAAGAGATATAGTTCATGTGGCATAAAATTCATCCTTTAAAAATATTTTTTGTGGAGCTTAGGATATTTCCCAAACAGTATAGTCATCATTCTTATGTAAATCTTTAATATTTCCACCGCCCCAAAATACACTACCTTGTACTCTACTCTTCTCTACTTTGGCTTGCCTCTTTCATTCTAAACTTTGCTCTCTGTTTTGCTGGGTGTGGTCTTGGGCAGCATGGCAGCCCCTTAATGACTGTTCCTGTGTTTCCAATCCTGCCTTCTCCTGGGGAGGGGATGACTGGCCAACCTAGAGCAGTCCCTGCCCTGTTTCTGTGATCCCAGATACACACAATGTCTGCTTCTCCATTTTTGGGCCTGGTGGGGTTGAAGGGCAGGGAGGAGAGAGGCCGTCCTAAGAAGGCAGAGTAGCTCAGTGGAGAGGTTGTCTTGAAAGATTGAACCTTGGTACACATGACCTAGTGGGTTAGTGATGAGGGAGCAGAAGTTCAGACACAGACAGACGGTCCAAGTTACAAATCAACCCCAGCACTGACTGATACGTGGTACCTTTTTCATTGTGTTAGGCTTCTTTCTGATGTGGCAAGATGGCTCAGTGGGTAAAGGCATTTGCTGCCAAGCCTGACAACCCAAGTTTAGTCCCTGAGCATCGCATGTGGAAGAGAACCGCCTCCCACACGTGTTCTCCACATGTGCTCCAGGGCTCAGGCCCTTCCCATACTCACACAAAATAAATAAATGCAGCAATCAAAAAATTTAAACCTCTCCCCTTATTTATTTCCACGACAAGCTGTTCCTAAATTTACATTTCAAAAAGCCATTGCTGTTTGTGTGGTTACATCCAGCACACCACGTGTCTCTTCGTTGCAGAAAGCTTGCTTCTCTGCACCCAGCCAGGCTTCCTTATGTCTGAGGATACAGAGAGTGTTGCTTTGATGAGATCAAGATTTAGAAGCTTAGTGCTTCTTTAAGGCTGTTTACGCTGACACACTTTAAACTACTGAAGAGGTCTTAACTGATAATCCTGAGTGAGATGTTAAACCAATTACTGCTCTGGAAATAGTGCCCTGTATCAGAATCTTATTACTATTAAGAGTGGCGCTGGCTTGAAATGGTGGGGGGAGGGGAAGAATAGTCTCTCAGTCTCTAGAATCAAATCTTACAGTGCAGGCTCCCATTGTGCATTTCCTAAATAAATTTACTTTTCTATTAATAAGAATTGTAAGTGGACAAGTTAGCTGTGTGGACTCTGTGTTCTGAACTTATATCTACAGGCGAAACCAAAAGGGCCCTGTTAAGGCAATATTGAAAATCTGCTCCTTAATGCATCCCACGGAGGTTTTGAACGGTATTTGTGATCGTGCTGTTGTTTTTCTTCCGAACAATGCCGATTGGTTTCCCTTCTGTCTGTTCTCACAAAGCATTTGAAATAACAAAATGAAATTTGACACCTCACAAAAGCTGAAATTAATACATCAGCATTCCGTTTTAACTTGTATTAAACAGGATCAGGAATTTAATTGCCAGGCTTGGCAGTCTATGGTTCGTGGCTACTTCTTAGATTTAACTGATTTTCTCTGTAATTTGTGGCAGTAAAGTCGCATGTTTAGGATTCCCCAGAGCTGAGACGTGAATATGGTCGAATGTATTGCGTGCATGTATGAAAAAACATTTTTTTTTTAAAAAAATCTCAGGGGTAGTGGGAAATCTTAACAGCAGTCAGACAATCATGAACTGGAATAGATTGACACCAGAATGAGGCCAGCCTCAGGAGAGCTTGGTTAGAGATGAGTGAAGTTGGGCTTTGAGGACTGCACAGAGCTGAGTGTGGCAACGGGAAAGTCTAGAGAGAACAGTTAGGGGCTGTCGGGATAGCTCAGAGGTACAGTGCATTCCTTGCATGTGTGAGGCCCTAGACGACCAGAGCAAACTAATAAAAACAGAACCAGGAGGTGAGAGTGGCGAGCCTTCTGAATGTCAGGTGGAAGTGTCCAGAGAGATGGAGCACACTGGACAGGTGAAACAGAGGTACAGGTACCCAGGAACAGCTGCTGCTTGTCGATTTCAAAGTAGGAATCTCAAAGCTGTCTGGAACTGGGATGGTGGGCCCTAGATGGAGGCACACAAAAGATAACAGGCCAGGGCTGAGCCGCCACAGAGATTAGTGTCAGGGCAGAGGGCTCTTCACATTCTCCAGATCAGAGGTAAGGTTGGTCTGGTCCTGAAGTTTCATCTGGCTATGCACAGCCCAGCTTTACAACTGTACAGTGACAACCGTGGCTGGGCTAATGATGGGATATATCCAGAGAAATGTGTTGTAAGACAGTTTTGTCACTCTGTAAGCCTCATAGATAACTTAGGCAAAACAAGGACTCTATGATATCACTAGGCAATGTGATCTTATGGGACTGCTACCATGTATGTGATCTGTTGTTTAATCTTATCACGTAGCCCACAGCTATATTTTTCTTCTTTTCTTTTTAAAATTATTTTATTTATTTATATTTCAAATGTTGCCCCCCTTCCAAGTCCCCACTTCATGAGTTCTTCAACCCCTCCCATTTGCTTCTGAGAGGGTGCTCCCCAACCCACCTCACCCTTCTAGAAGTCTTTCCCACTGAGGCCAGACAAGGCATTCCTCTGTAACATATGTACTGGGGTCCATGGACCAGCCCATGTATGGTCTTTGGTTGGTGGTTTAGTCCCTGGGAACTCTGGAAGGTCTGGTTGGTTGATATTGTTGTTATTCCTGGATGGAATTTTTCACATCTTAAAGATTAATAGCTTCATTTGCCAGATGAGGAAATTGAGGCCATGTGTACATGAGATTCCTCAGAACTCATTCTTAGTTTAAGCATCGCATTACTTCAGCTATCAGACGAGTCACCTGGGAATTCAGACGCTGATTCTGGGTTCTGGTGTCTGAGGCTCTGATGCAGTGGGATAGCACCAGTTATCAGGACTCTGTGCTTCTGTAGCTGATACTGATATATGTGGTGCTGGCTAAAGCTTGAGAATAATTATTTAGAAGGCTTCCTTTTCTTTCCGCAGTCTAATCATCATCTGTTTGGTTTTGGTTTTTGAGAGAGAATATCTTCTCTAGCCCTGGCTGGCTTTAGATTCATGAAAATCCTCTCACTCACCTTCTGGGATCATAGGCATAGCTACCACACCTGGTCAATAGTCTTTGTTAAACCACATTTGTTCCAATCCTTCACAGAGTCCAAACCTGGTGACTTCATCAGTAACTTCTCAGGTATCTTTCTGAGCTCCTGTAGTTCCATCCTTAGCCCAGTGTTCCCGTGGATCTGACGAGGCTGTGGCACTGTTCAGTTGGATGAAGTCTACTTTAGGATGCTTTCTCTTAGGGCTATTACCACACATGGGCATTTGCTTGGTATTCAGCTAAGGCTAAACTTGGGTTCTCTTGTAAGAGGCTATCGAGCAGCTGACGTAAGGACTACCTGGGACCGAAGGAGTCAAAAGTGTAGAGCTAGAGTGGTTTCTGGTTGACAGATGGGTAGGTCACAATGGCCAAGCAAGAGGAATACCTGAGGGGTGGCTGCGGTTCTGTGCTCAGGACTCTGACCTTTCCCTTGGTGTCCCCTCTTGTCAGCCACAGTGAAAGCTTTCGATAGTGATGTTTTTAAAATGTGGTGTGGTATTTCTACTTCATTTTCAATTTGTCTTTAACTAGGTTTCCTATTTTGAGATCTACTTGGACAAAATAAGGGACTTGCTTGACGGTAAGTCCCACCTGAATGCGCTGTGTCTGCCCTGTAGTTGACGTGCAGGGGGGTTGAGATGAGTTAGGGCGCTTCTGCCTGGACAGCTGATGAAAATTTAGAGCGATGTTTGCCCTCGGGCTGTGCTCTCCTCCCAACCCCAGCTTAAACTTGCCTCTTCTCTAGCCATAGCTGTTCTTCTGGGGGCGCAGGGTTTTTAACTTCCCTTTCCTTCTTTACATGCTGTCATTTTCACCACCACAGTGTCCAAGACCAACTTGGCTGTTCATGAAGACAAAAATAGAGTCCCCTATGTAAAGGTATGCAAAGACTTGGGTCACTGTCCAAATATTACGTGAGATGCTGTAAAGAGTATTCAAAAGGCATAGTTATCTATAACATTGATATGGCCATAAAAATCAATATTTAGTTTCTTTAACTGTAGCTTTCATGTATGCAAATTATTGTTGTTGTTGTTGTTATTCATTTGCTGGGAATCTAATTCAGTGCTTCATGTATAAGCTATGAGCTATTATACCCAGCCCTCTTTATGAAATCTATTATTTTAAATGTTACCGTTTAGTATTTAAAAGAGGTTTTGGGATTTACTGCAATGGTGTTTGCTGTGCACCTCACAGAAGTCTGTTGTAGCATCATGTCACAGGCTGAAATGGTAAATGACGGAAAGGTGAGACAGTACATTCTCGTTCCTCTTCTCTTATAGATTTTCTTCTTTTAATTTCTGCCTCCTGAAAGTATTGCTTTAGGGTATGGACATGAGCTTAAAAAGCGTTGACCTTACATCTAGCTTTCCCAGGGCTAGCTCATACTTCTCTTTAATGTAGACTCCAAGCCCCAGGCAAGGAGGAGAAACTGTACCTTTAGAGGGAGAAGGATGCTTAGCTGCTTTGCGGTGCTGTTGCTTTGCAACTGCTGTCATGGCTGACCTGACTTGCCTTTGACTCTTGCAGGGGTGCACCGAGAGGTTTGTATCAAGCCCGGAGGAGGTCATGGATGTGATCGATGAGGGCAAAGCAAACCGACACGTGGCTGTGACAAGTAAGCGCGGGGTGACGTCTGTGCTGTCATGTAGCACAGCGACATTTGCCCTCTGTGCAGGACAGCTGGGTAATGAGGATGTGGGGGAAGATAGCAGAGAGCAGTGAGCAGACAGACCCCAGCCCCGGTGCCACAGGAGTGTATGCAGCACGCTCAAGTCTTAAAGCGTTGCCTGAGATTCCTCGGGTTCTGATAAAAGGCTTAGAAAGAAAATCCAAGCTATTAAACTCATGTCAAACACAAGGAAAAACAGTTGGAGTTCTACCTCTATAGAAGGAGAATAGTATGAAGAGGGCGTCAGAGCAGGGCGGGCAGCTTCCAAGGAGTCCCCGCTGCACATGGTCACAACAGATGCACTCACGTGAGCTAACGTGCCAGGCAGCTTTTGTCCAGGTGTCACATCCCAGGGAGCTGCACGTGTGTCTCAGAGCGGCAGAGGCTCCTTAAAGAGACTAGCACCCTTTCAGGGGGTTGTGGACAAAGGAGTGTAAGTTCACACAGAGCTGGTGGGACTAAGAATTTCAAGTTCAGAAGAGAAAAAAAAAATCAGGAGAGGATGCGTGGGCAGTGCAGCTCATTGATGCACTGGGTTCTAATGTTGAGGATGATACAATGCACTTCTTGAAGCTAGGCACGCAGGCTTGACCAACTGTCAGGACTGTAAGCCTGGAAGGTGCCCCAGGTGAAGCCTGCTGCTGAGGAAGGGAGCAAAGGTGCCCGAACGTGCTGTATAGAAGAGAGTCAAGCAGTAGTTGGTGACTGGTCTAGACCCTTCTAAGAGCTGGTCCTGTGTGGATGGACTCCAGTTCTGTGACTCACATCTGAAATTCTTAGCCTCTTCTTTACCCAGCATCAATGTGTGACATGATGCTCATGTACGTGGCCATTTTCAGAGCTGACCTAGGCTTGCATACAGTGTAAGAAACACTGCTTCTTGCTGTTCTGCCCGAAACTCACATGTATACAAAAAAAAAAACCTTTCTCACTGTGTTTCTTAAGCTGTCAGTCATGAATTAATCACAGTGTACCAGAACTGGCTGCCAGCTTCAGAGCTGAGGATCTGGAATGTTACTAGTGTCCTTATCATTCTGTCAGGGTTTTTAACACATTATTTTGTGTGTGTGCGTGTGTGCGTGCCATGTCGATGTGCACATAGGAGCTAGGGAGACAACACTCCCAAAAATTTCCCTCTAGCATGTGGGTCTTGGAAATTGAACTGGGATGTCAGGCTTGACAGCGTCCTTACTCATTGAGTCATCCCACCAGCTCTGGTTTCTATTTCAGTGTGGTAAGTATAGTTAAAAGTGCTGCATTCCTAAGTCCATTTACGTTGTGGGCAACATCTTCTCACGTGTCTCCACAATGTCCCATCTCCCCTAGCTGAGACCTGAACTCAGGGACCTTTGCAGCAGGTGCTTCTCGGGCTCTACCATCTCCCCATATCCTGTTTTAATTTTCAAGATCAGCTTGGCTATTCAGGATCCTGTAAGACTTTGTAGAACTTTTAAAGATTAGGGTAGATTTTTCTACTTCTATAGGTATTAGCATTAAGATTTTGATACTGTTGTATTTGAATGGATTATTTTGGCTAAATTTACATTTGTATTTTTTATGTGTATGAATGTCTGGTGTGTATAATAAGCAGGCTCCTATGTGGGACGGTCCATGTGCATTTGCGCATGTTTTGTGTGTCTGTGTGTCTGTGTGTGTAGACCTGAAGTTGATGTTGTATGTCTCTTTGACTCGATCTTCACGTTTATTTTTATTGAGGCAGCCTCTCTCACTGACCCAGTACTTACCAGTTTCAGCTAGTCCAGCCAGCTCTGGGCCTCCTCTGTTTCTGTCTCTCCAGTATCAGGATTACAGATAAATCGCCATGCCTGACCAGCTTTTAAATGGGTTCTGGGATTCCAGCCTCCAGTCCTCCTGCTTACTCAGCAGAGCTTTAGCTATTGAAGCCATCTCTTCAGCCCCAACCTTGATATCTTAGCATTACTTAATCTTCTAATAAATGATCATGGGTTATGGTTCCATTCATATGTATCTGGTTTAATATCCTTAAGTGACATTTTGTAGCATTTGTCTAAAAATCTGCCATTTTCTTTAAGTTTATCTCTATTTTATCCTTTCTGTTGCTAATGTAGATAGATTGTTTTCTTAATTTATTTTTTAGGTCAGAAATAGAAACAAATGCTTTTTTCATGTTGATTTTTCTAGCATGCAGCATTGCTAAATCTATTTATTTGTAACTTAAAAATTGGGATCTTCAGAGGTTGTTTTAAGGAACAATCTAGTGAGATGCTTTCTGAGGGACAGTGAAAGTTGACTGGGGTCTGCTGAAAAGGGAAGCGTTTTCTTTGATATCTTGACCGTTGAATCTGGGAGGCCTCTGCATGTTTAACATGAATTATAGAGGAATGTGCTTTAATCTTCCTTGAAGGAAGCTTATGGTAGTTCTGGGAAACTCAGGCTACACGCATGAGTAGGACAAACTGTATCTGACACTACACTGTAATTAAATCCCAGGGCTTCCACAGGACCAGCAAGGAAGCTGTGAGCTTCTTGGAGGTTGAGATTGAGTGGAGTATGGGATATAGGGCTTCTGGCGACCCTGAGAGTCTGTTGACTTAAATTGCTCAACAAGAATGTTAGGTTAATTCCTTTGTTACTTGAAGGCATTGTAAATCTGTCCTCTCTACAATGAGTGGGGTTTTTGTTTTTTGTTTGTTTGTTTGTTTGGTTTCTTTTTAAAAGAAGAAACAGTGGCCTCAGATACATCCCGAAATTGACTTCACTGACTGCATCAATGCAGAGAGCTGTATCGGGGCAACATGATTGGCTGTGTTTTAAAGACTAGAGGTTTGCTACCTATGCTGTCATGCTCTCTGTGGAGCAGTAAACCATTCTCCTTTTCAGACATGAACGAACACAGCTCCAGGAGTCACAGTATCTTCCTGATTAACATTAAACAAGAGAACGTGGAGACTGAAAAAAAACTCAGCGGGAAGCTGTATCTGGTTGATTTGGCTGGGAGTGAAAAGGTAATTGGTTCTTATTTATATATTATCTATAATTTCCCTCTGTTATTTGCTCAAGTGTACAGTTGCATAAGTTTTGTGCCTTTTACTTCCCGGTTTTAAAGAGGTTTAAAATGTGGAGGCCTGGTACTGTCAGGTTTCTTTGTAGTCTCATTTTGACCTGTGGTCTGAGAGTCCCCTGTTCATGTCAGAGGCATGTGCATCAGAGCCTCTGATTCATTTATGCTTTGTAGCCTGTGGCTTTAAGCAAGTGTTAGTATGATTTAGCCTGGCAAGACAGCTGTACAAAGGCGGGATGGGTGCCCTTAGGATGGAAGCAGCCATCTGTTGTATGGACTCCAGTAGGCTGGGGAAGGCTCTGCCCCTGGAACATGGTTGGCCCTGCTTCTGCACCTTTGCTTTGCTGAGAAATGGTCTGGAACCTGGGGTCTGCCAGTGTTTCCATTCTACTGGAAGTGGGTTTGAAGTAACAGGTCTCATACAAGTGGAGTTGGGTCTTTCAGGTTGAGAAGCATTCTTTGGTTTTGTTGTGATCCTCTTTCCACACCTGGACTCTCTTCTATGCTCCCAGGCAATGGCTAAGACTACATTTAGAATCACTACTCTTCCCATACCAGCCCCCTTCCCCAGCACCAGGGGATATTCCCACAGCCATACTCTGACGGGGCACAACCTATAGCCAGCATCATAGAGCCAGTGCACATGCACAATTCCTATTTCTGCCATCAGCAGTGACATCACCTGGTTGTCCTCACCAGGGCAGGTGCTGAAGCTCTGTCAGTCTCCCTAGCTGTACAGGTGATTATCACTTACTGTCCCACACTGCTAAGTTCCTGAACACTAGCTATGGCTACAAATGTCCCCATAAGTCATGGTTTTTGAATTGTCCTCTTACATGGCTGGTTATCTCAGATGTTATGTGTGGGCTGGCCACATTCTCAGCCACTCATCAGGATGAAGGGAGCACATTGCCCAGCTCTAGACTGACCACTGACTGGACTGCCATGTTGGGTACAGGCCCATACAGAGAGCTCATGTGGCGATGAGTTACTTAGTGCTGAAGTACACCTGACAGCTGCCTCCTACTGGCAGTTGGTGCTTCTTGTTAAGGGTACTTGTGAGGTGTTTCAAGCATCCTTGCTTGGTTGTTTTCTTCATGTTTTTCTTCCTTTTCCCTGGATGAGTCTGTATGAATGTACTGTCTTGAGAACAGAGCTCTGGGCTTTCGATCCCATCACCGTCAAGGGCCATCCTTCTCTTAGGCTGCCATTGTCTTTTCTTAGGGCTCATTGTGCTTGCCTGCCAAAGAAAGGGGATAGATGATCCCTGCTTTGAATAGTTCATGGAGTTAAGATGCTCAAACTAGAGATCATCTAAAAATGCCTGTATAGGTTGCTGATTTTTGTGGCCCATTACCTACTCCATGATGTCTCTGTCTGCAAGCAGGCTGCCCTCCACAGTTTTGGGGCAGAAGAAGTCTGTACTATTTTCAGACCCTTGCTCCTGGACAGTATTCCCCTCTGTTGTTGGGGGTGAGGGGAATCGCCTTCATATATATTTGAATCCATTGTTGCTCAGTTTAAAGTTATTTCTCTTCTTTCCTTTTTTTCTTTCTTCTTTTTTAGAGAGCAGCTGTTCACCCTGCTTTTGCTCAGATAGCCAGGAGAAATCTTACTGAGTCCTCTCCCCTCCTTTAAAAAAATTGGCAGCATTTGTAAACCTCTCTGTCTAGATTAAATGCTGCAAACGTAAAATTATCTATACTAACACAGTGCAGGGGGCACCATGTATGGGCTAGAGAAGAAAAACCAAACTTATAGTGTAACACACAGGTCATTGTCATTTCATGTCTCCCTAAGCCTTTTGCATTTTAGACACCCCCCTTCTTTCCTTTCGCTGCTCCCCACTCCCTCCCTCCATGCTACGGGAAAAAAGTAGAGATAGAACAGAGTCAGAACACCACCCATTCCCACTTCAGTCGTTTGCCTGAAATTGGGGCTCATAAATGTTTTCCTCACTGTGCCCAGCAGATCCCATGTAACTGGGAGGCTGTGATTTAGTCCCCCAGGACCCAGCTCGCTGTGGTGACAGCACTTGTGGAGCCTGGTTTTCCTGGATGGATGTCCCCCAGGGAAGCATCCACAGTTCTCCCACCTGAGGCGTTTAAATCAGCCATTCCACTAAAGCCCAATTGAGAGGAAAATGACAGCGGGAGAGATCTGATCCTCAGCTTCCAGCTCCAGAGACAGCTGGATCGATCGGGGTGGTTCTTACCCACCTTCATTCCCTGGTTTCCTGAAGGGCCTGCCTGCTGCCCCTCTGTGTGCTCGGATTTTCTGCTCTGTGCTTTCACAGTCCTCACTGCCTTTTCTGTCCCTTGGTAGGTCAGCAAAACGGGTGCTGAGGGAGCTGTTCTCGATGAGGCTAAAAATATCAACAAGTCTTTGTCTGCTCTTGGAAATGTGATCTCTGCCTTGGCAGAAGGGACAGTAAGTAATCCTGTCACCATCTATTACACAGTGTTATGGGAAGCCACCTTTGGGATTTGGGTATTCTTATTGGGATGGATTGCCACACATCCTAGACACTCATTTATTTTCCTCTTTGGAAGAGAGATTCCTGGCTGGAGTGCCTGTTGCTGGGAGCTCCACTCCTCTCTAGGAAGTATCAATGGTGATGCTAACTTCCTATGACACAGGCCATAGCATGGACAGTCTTTGGCAAGATCCAAAGACCTGGCTTCAGTTCCTCATTCCACGTGTTTCTTAGTTAGGCCAGCTTGCTTCTGTAGTTTTTCTTTGAATGGGCTGTCAAAAACTAATCCTTCTTTTCTTAAATAGAAAACACATGTGCCATACCGGGACAGCAAGATGACCCGGATCCTCCAGGACTCTCTGGGTGGGAACTGTAGGACCACCATTGTCATTTGCTGTTCTCCTTCAGTCTTCAACGAGGCAGAGACCAAGTCCACGCTGATGTTTGGACAGAGGTGCGTGCCGGGGAGGGGGGGTTCCAGAACCCATGCTCTGAGCTAGGTAATGGATCATAGGTGTGAATGGCTTGGGGCAATGGTCAAAAGGGCCAATAATTATTCAATTGCGTCTAGCAGGTGACCTGTAAACTTGAGACATTATTTAGGGGGGGCAACAAGGGATTGTGTTTTCAGTAGTGGTCAGGAATGAGCCTGTCAGAAGAACAATGTTGAACAAAGCAAAGCAAAACACACAACTCAGTGGTGCACGACTTTTGTTCTTTGTAGACTCGAAGCCTAACCTTTAGCTCTCTACAGCTTCACACATGTAAATCTCAAGACCGATACCCACGTGCAACTCCAGTATTTGGATTTTGAAATCCATTGCAAAGTTGTTCATAAAATCAATCAGAAACTTAGATAAAGGCAGAGTAGAAGCATGCATAATGGAGGACAGGAATCCGATGCCTTAACCCTGAGAGTGGGAGGCATGGGGTGTGTGTGGAGGAAAGGGCAGGGGATGCAAGGGGCAGACCTGCCTCTGAATGTTAGCAGGTGCAAGCGTGAAAGAGCTAAGCCATCTTCACATGTGTGCATGGGTGTAGGGTTGTAGGCCCTTCTCCACCCCACCACAGTGCACAGCTGCTTGGGGAGGCAGAACTCGGGGAGTCTGACTGCGCTTACCCTACTCCACAGGTTCTGGGCTTTACAGAAGTGTCAGACACTGCTCCAGGGGTGAGAAAGTGCAGCCTGAGATGTGGGAATAGCCCAGAGCTGGTTCAGGGGTTCCTGGTCCTGTGAAGAAACTGGGGCTGTGGGGTTCTCAGACTCTTGGACCTCCAGGAGGCTGGGAGACACGGAAGAGCAGAGAATGGAGCCAGGGGCCGGGGGGGGGGGGGGGGGCTGGGCCCGCATCTTGTCCAGGCCAGGGATAGTGGGGTTGGGGGAAGGGGAGCTCCAGCTTTTCCACCTGGGGATGATAGTCTTTAGCTTGACAGTGGCAGACTTGGTGTTAGTTGTGGCTGTGAGCACAGAGAGGCCTTCTACCAGAGATTAGGCTGTGATTCTGTAGGTAAAGGCCTTCTTCATGGCTCCCCACGGTGGATTTTAGTGAAAAGAGATCATCCATGGTTCCAAACAGTTTATTGTCATGGTGGAAAATGGTTGCATAAAAGCATACCCCACTTCTCAGGGTGGCCCTGAGATTAAATACCTTTTGTTGGGAGGAATGTCTGGGAAGGGAAGCTTATTGGCTAAGCCCTCCAGGCCTCTAGGTACCTCATTAGCATGAAGGACTCTGTTTTGGGCCTACATGAAGTCTCTTTTCTTATTATCTTGGTCTGAGATGTTAGGGATGCCTCATTTACCTGTGGAAGGGCTTGGGGCATTGCCCCTACATGACTGATGGCCACATATCTCTCTATGGAGGGCTGCGGCTATGAAACAGGGGGCCTGGTTTGTGAGCAGGCAAAGCTCCTACTGTCCCTTCAGGGTCTCCCAAGCTTCAAGCTTTTAGCTAGAGTTTACCAGGCTTCCTCTCATGGTCCACCTTCTTACCTTCCTTACCCTTCCCCTCTTTTTTCAGTTTTTTGATTTTTTAAAAAACTATGTGTGTGAATACACTGTAGTTGTCTTCAGACACACCAGAAGAAAGTGTTAGATCCCATTATAGGTGGTTATAAGCTACCATGTGATTGCTGGGAATTGAACTCAGGATCTCTGGAAAAGCAGTCAGTGCTCTTAGCCACTGAGCCATCTCTCCTTTTTCAGTTTTTCGAGACAAGATTTATTCAATGTAATCAATTCTGACTGTCCTGGACTCTTTGTAACGAGGCTGGCCACGAACTCACAGAGATCTGTCTGCCTCAGCCTCCCGAGTGCTGGGAGAAAAGGCTTGTGCAAGCAGGTTTGGCTTCCTTGCCTTTCTTAACACATTCCTTTTTACCTACCTTGCCCTGGTGCCCACTGCTGACCTCTTCAGTCTTGTTTGTTCAGTTCCCAAGCCCCATCTTCTTAGTTGTCTTTTCGGGTGTTGGTTACCTAAGCTTGAGATGCTGTGGGCTTAGATGCTCTGAGCATTGTTGGTGCTCACTGGGCTGAGCCCAGACAGATGTGCTGGGGTGGATTCTCCTATCATTATTACACTCAGTGCCAAACAGCTGCTGATCTGTCTCTGTGCGCCTTTACTGCCTCGGGTGCTAGTGCTCCCCTGCTTTAGTCCTGGAGTATGTGTTGTATGATAATGCCCAAGAAGTTATTTCAAATGGGGATGGGCGCTCAGTATGGAAAACAGCTACAGCTGCTTGAACTGCATCGCACATCGTAGACATTTTCTGAGTCTCAACAGGACATAGGGTTCTTCAGCTGTGGTCCGTCTATACAATTGTGTTGTAATGTTGTAGGACTAATCTGTCTCTTGGAGTGGATTAGGATCCTTCGCTTCCTCCTAAATGACTTCCTTGATTTGATACATGCTTGAGGCACTGGCCTTGTAGCAAAGCGACACCTTTGTTTCCTGGCGACTGATCCACTCTCTTCTTACTTCTCTCTGAGCCTAAGACCTCTCTTCCTTAGAGATGGAGTGGCTCCTTCCAAGGACTTGTGGAAGAATGATGAGTTGCCCAAGGACTTGTACAGAGGAAGCTACCACTGACTTCAAGCTCACCTTAAATACTCCGGTGGGGCTGAAGAGATGGCTTAGCAGTTAAGAGCATTGGCTGCTGTTTCAGAGGACCTGGGTTCAATTTCTAGCACCCACATGGCAGCTCAGAACTGTCTATAACTCCAGTTCCAGAGGATCTGACACCCATACACAGACATGCATGTAGACCAAGCACCAAATGTACATTTGAAAAGTTATTTAAAAAATAAATACTCTGGCAGCATTGAGGGTTGGAAAGATAGTAGTGGATAAGACTGGACCATAAAGAAGGAACAGCGTTGTAGTCTAAAAGAAAGTTTGAAGTAGAATTTCACTTCTAGAACCAATGGATAAAGAAATACTACTGGAAATTTAGAATTCCAGGAAATAAAATGTAATATCAAATATGTTTCTAGGTGAAATAGTTGGTCTGCTTCTTTTATCAGACCCTGAACTGCATGAGAGCAGAGAGTACATTTGCCATTGGCATCAGCTTTCCTGCGTGGGAAGTGTACAGTGATCAATAGGTGCATGCTTATTGAACAGTGAAACAAGCAAACCTCAGACTCATGGTGAAGGATCTTAGGGAGCTGTGTCATCACTGCCCCTAGAAGTTGACCTAGGTTTGGATCTAGTTTGCTTTCTAGTCAGTAGTCTGAAATATGTGATAGTTTCTTCCTTTCTTTCTGTCCACATGTTAATTGATTCTTTAGAGAGAGTGGATTTGTTCATGGGCCTTCTGTCTGCTTTACTGTTAACTATATGCACTGAATTCATTTATACACTAGACACGGGTCTGAACATTAGATTAGACATGGTATCTGAGAGTGAATAGGATTGAATACTGGGATGGAGAGATGGCTCAGCAGTTAGGAGCATTGACTGTTTCTCCAGAGGTCCTGAGTTCAATTCCCAGCAACCATATAGTGGCTCACAACCATCTGTAATGGAATCTGATGGCCTCTTCTGGCACACAGGTAGGTAGGTATACGTGCAGATAGAATGCTCATATATATAACAAATATATAAAGCTAAAAAAAGAATAATAGGATTAAGCACTTTGAACCCAAAAGCTGTTCATTATGTCCCAAGTGCCAGATAACCAGTACTCATTTTGTTCTTGTTGCAGAACTGTGGACAGCATAATTTTTATGGTTCTCCCAAGGACACAGTGGAGGTGTATATTTTTGCTAGGCTGAAACGCACTGATGTGCTGAATTCCTCACTGCATGTGATTTCAAGTTGTAGAAACTCAACAGAGTCCATGGATGCCTGAAGCATCCCATGTTAAGAAGCAGCCTGTGTTAAGATTCTAGGTTTAGTACTGGATTCACAGGGAAAAATTCATCCTGACAGATTCTTCTTATTTAATCATGTTTGTCCTGTCCCATTAGCTCTCTAAGTGCCCAGCAGTCTGCTAGTGCAGAGGTAGCCACTGCCTCCTGTGTGTCAGAGAGCAAGAGGTAGTTCAGATACCTGAGAATCAAAAAGCCAAATTAAAACATTTTGTCGATTGTTTTTGCTTTCTAGACACCAGCATGTTATTCTTTAGTTACTCTCCCATAGTAACTTTTCTAGCATTTTTCAGAAAAGATGTTTCTGAATTTCCGATGTGTGAACTCAAATCACTCCATCATCTTGGAAGTCTGTTTAATGTGCCTTGATTTGGCGGAGGTGTCCCCATCAGTGTGACTCTGTCCAGCAAGAATAATTCAGTCTGTCTGTTTGTCGACTGTGAGAGGAGACTGGTGACACGGGAGAGTGATGGTATCTGTGTTCCTGGTGCACTGCTCTCAGAAGGAAAGCACGTCTCTTTAATCAGCCACCTGCCATGGTGACTGCTGGACGCAGCAGAGACTGAGTACTGCACATTTAAATTCATGTCACAAGAGTGTGAGGACAAATTACCTGCAAAGGCAGAGTGAGCAGTTTAGTTAAGACATATACATTGGTGCATTTGACGTGAAACCAAGAGTTCAGTCACCTCTGTTGGAGAACCTGTTGCTGTGACACCATAGTCGCATAGTGGGGTGACCATAGTCCTTGGAGGGAGAGATGCTGTTTGCTGTAAAGTTTAACTTGAGGCCAGTTCTTCACTGGTCATGAGAGCTTTAATTCTTCCTTTGTGACTAGCCTTTTCCTCAGAGGCTGGCAGGCCTGGAGAGTGCTTTGGAGCAGAAATGAGTTCGGAGTAAAGTGTAGATGTTTACACAGCAGTGAGACTCGGGCAGACCAGAAGTTGTGATGTAAATTTCACCCCCAAATGGCTAAGCTCTTTAATCAAACGTGAATCCAGCTACTGCTCTGACTATGTTTTTAGACGGCTAATGTTTGCACTCAGTTGGCTGAGTCAAGTGGATGACCCTGGGTAATGATC